TTTTCTACCGCAGAAGTAATTTCTATTGTAAAACCGTTTCAATATACAGAATGGTATCTAAAGGCTAAGTTGTCGAATACCTTGGGGGCGGGGGGAGGGGGGGCTAGCGGTGGAGTAGCTAGGCGGAACACTTCTGTACTTACTTACTTATTATATTATTTGGGTTTGTGACCAGTTTTGATTGCTATATGCTGATGTTTCAATGTCCACAGCTGTCTAATAGATTATTGTTATCTTTTGTATCTCACTTTTGTACTTATGACTAGGGATGTCCCGATACCGATGCTAGCATAGCATCGGAATCGGGCTCGATACAGGGCATTTTGACAAGTACTTGTACTTGTCAAAATGCCCCAATACATAGCGCCGAAGCTTGCGCTATGTTTTTTTTTTTAGGTGGCCGGAGACTGCCAGATGACCCCGCTCGGAGTGCCTCCCCCGGAGCAGCAGTAGCGCGACACTCGGCGAGGTAAGTAAGAAAAAAAAAAAAGGATCTGTATTTAGCCCTGTACTAGGGATCATTTAACCCATTCATGTTAGCAGAGTATAATTGTAAATGTATTGTTGCAGGCACTCTATATGTACTGTACATGTACTATATACTACATATAGAATGCACTGCAACAATAGCTTTACAATTATCCCCTGCTAATATGAATGGGTTAAATGATCCATAGTACATGATACGTAGCTTAAAAAGGATCGGTAATTGGTATCGGCAAGTACATGAGGGGAAGTAGTTGTACTTGAACTTGGGCCTGAAAAAGTGGCATCAGGACATCCCTACTTATGACTATTGAGTATTGAATGACAGAGCTTTATCTTTGTGTTATTGTGAAAAACTTTAATAAACTTTGTTTAAAAAAAAAAAGAAGAATCCATGCCAAGTTTTTAGCCATGAAACGCTTAATCATTGCTGAAATGACAAGGGCTGTGTTCCTCCCTGTAATACGTTCTGACTCCGCAGATGTATCCGTATGAATTTCGCTGCTTTTAATAGTGTTGGAAAAGACTCCAATATTTGGTCCCTTGGAATCCTAAATTCCAAAGGGGCTTTAAGCTGGTCCAACCAAATGTGTAAGGTGAATAGTGGCTAATGCTGGCCTGAAATTACAAACCTTAGCTTCCCAAGATTTTCAAGAGCAATTCACCCATTGTCTGCATGCTGAATTTTTAGAAACCTGTGACAAGGATGGAAAAAAATTGAGAAACGCTCCTATGGCCAATGTCTCAGTAACTCCACCAGAGAAGTGGTAAGATATTTTGCGCTTGGCTCAGCCTCTTCTTCTATGATGGCTGCCTGGTCGCCAAACGGCTGCTTTATGCTTTATTTAAAAGCTAGAGCCCCTTGGTAGCTCAGCCCAATGCCCCCAGTTTTTCTCCAACTGTTGGCACCGTGAGCCACTGACACAGAGAGGTGGGTGAAAAGAACACTGTGGGCAGGTGTTCTATCGAAATGGCCAACACGTCAAAATCTCAAACTACGTCACTTCCAGTTAACAGAAAGACTGGAGGAGCTCTGTACAGCAGTGATGCGCATGCCCGCTTAGCATTTTCACATTACTCGTTGAGTTCTCCAGCAGCTATCAGTGTGCATACGTGTACAATCTCCTAGGTAACCAAAGACTCGTCGACTTTGCCAACTGCTGAGTATTGTGAATATGCGGCTGTACAGAGCTCCTCCAGTCTTTCTGTTCTGCAGTCTAACGCCATCTCGTCGAAATCTGCTGCTGGCAAGTCACCGGAAGTGACGGAATTGGAGATTTCGATGAGTTGGCCATTTAGATAGAACACCGGCAACCCATGCGCATTTCGACTCCCAAAAAGTGGAAGTGCATCACTCAAGGATGGAAATATGAAGGGTCAACTGCTGGGGCACCCTTTCCTTCATCACACCAAGACGGAACACCCTCAGGCAAGAAAAAAAGGCACTAAACTCCCTCTACATTTGGGGTTGAATAAAGACATACATCCATCAAGTCCAACCCATATAGGTCCACGCATCATCTCATATTTTAGGGATACTGGTACCCCTGGATATTACAGTCCCTCAAAAAATTGTCCAAAAGTTTCTTGAACAAATCTACACTCTTGGCTGAAATCACTGCCGATGGCAGTGAGTTCCAGACCCTAACCGCTCTTACTGTAAAGAACCCTCTTCGCCCATTGTGCTGGAATTTTTTCTCCACCAACTTTAGGTGGTGGCCTCTAGTCTTTGTAATGGAGTTAATCAGGCACAGTTAAGTGACGCTTCATGCCAGAGCAATTCCTGTCATGTGTTGTCCTGGAAGATCATTGGGGGGAAAAAAAAGATGTGATGGGAGAAGGGCTGTAGCCCTGTGACTGCCAAGGACGTGCCGTACATATTCTGTCACTGGATAATACTATGACAGAGGCAGCTTGTCAGCCCCTCTTCTGATAGTAATACAATTAAGTAAAAAAATAAATAAAAGCAACTTAAAAAAATACAATAAATAAAAAAAGTAAATGAGCCCCGTCCTTAGGGCAGATTCACACCATTTTCCGGACCAGATCTAGAACGCAGTGCATTGCGTTTTGCCGCATTTTTACTGCAATTTTGCCGCGTTCCTGAACTTTTTTTCTAGCTTAAAATGGGCTTTCAAGTGCGTTGCAGTGTGTTTGCATGTGGTTTTGATGCGTTTCTATGCTTTCCAGTGCATTGCAGACCAGAGAAAATGAGACGAGCAGTATTTTTCTGGTCTGGAACAGACAGCGCTGGTGTGAACAGAGGCCAGAAATAGCATAGGGATACATTAGGATGCATTATGGGTCTGGAAACAATCTGGTTTGGAGATGATCTGGATGTGGTGTGAATGGGCCCTCAAAATTCTAGGACTATCATTTACGGTTAACTCTGAACTGATATAGATTTTTAAGTACCGCTTATGTACAAATTTGGTATTGCAGTTTGTTGCCATTTCACGGTCACCTGTAATTTTAAGGCTTGACATATTTGGTATCTATTTACTTGAACACAGTCTTATGTTTTCTTTTGTTACAAAAAAAATGGGAATTATATTGTGATTAATTAATTTTAGTGTATTTTACTGAAAAAATGGGTGAATATGGGCAAATACTGTATATTGTGACTTAAAAAAAATTCAGGCCCTCTGCTTTCAGAAAATACATATTTTGGGGGGAATTTATCAAAACTTGAGCAGACAGAATCTAGAGCAGTTTCTCATAATCACCAATCAGCTTCTATCTTCAGTTTGTTCAGTTAAAAGAGAACTGTGGGGTAAGTGATTTTCCTCATAGTTCTCTATAGGGTCACGGGAGGACGTATACTAACCTCCTCCCGTAACCCAAAGCTCAGTATACCGCAGGCTATTGCCCGCAATATACTGAGAGCACCGCAGCCGGGACGGATCTCAACAATACTGTCGAGATCCACCCAGCTGCGTGATTGACAGTTGGCTTTGCCTGCCCCCTCCCCCGTTCGTTCCTCTACTCAGCGCTGGAGGATTGAAGAGGGGAGGGGGGAATCCCTGTGGAGAGCGGTGAATGACGGTCACCACTCACTACAGGGAGACAATCGGGAAGTGAGCAGATCGGCTGCATGTTTCCACTCACTTCCCGATTGATAGAGCCGACTTGTGACAGCTTCTTTGTCACAGGTCGGCTCTAACTATGAGGATGAGTGGAAATCACTCACCTCATACCGTGTTTCCCCGAAAGTAAGACCTACCCCGAAAATAAGACCTAGCGCTATCTTCGGGGATTTCTGTAATATAAGACCTACCCCGAAAATAAGACCTAGTTCGGGGTAGGTCTATATTAAAGACATCCCTGAAGATAGCGTGCCCGCCCACCTGTGTTTCTCCTTGTAATGGATCAGAGCGGAGACGCAGCTCCCTCCCGCCCCCCTGCCAGACACGCCCGCACGCATGCCTGCCCACCTGTTTGTGGCTCCCTGGACGGCAGAGCGGACAGCTGCAGCCAGGTAAGACATCCCCCCGAAAATAAGACCTAGTGTCTTTTTTCGTGAAAAAAAAAAAAAAAATAAGACACTGTCTTATTTTCGGGGAAACACGGTAGTTCTCCTTTAAAGCGATATTAAACCTTCTTTTCTTAAATAGTTGCTATTAGGACACCCACCTTTTCTGGAGTATGTTGCTCTTTTTCTTTAAAAGTTTTTAATTCCTCATTTTCTAGTGGGTCCCCCCGCGCTCTTCCCCCCGCACGGGTGCCACCATCGTACTAATGGAGGCACCCGTGCGCGCTCGTGCCCGCAGTGGCTGTGTGCATCAATAGACAAACACAGCCCAGTGGCAGGCCACGCCCCTTCCTTGATTCATGGCAGAAGGAGTCTATCCTCCACCTGCAATCAGGAAGTACAGGGAAAGGAGGATCAACTCGGGCTCGGCGGCATCTAAAGAAAATAATTGCCTGCGTTCTCTACATAAACTAGGTTCTTCCTTTCATTCACCAACTACCATTGCCACTTAGCAGCCTGAATAGTTGTTGTGTGGGGAGTGCAGTGTGAAACACACACCATTCTCATTTTAAACACCTTGAAAAGGCCTCGTCTTCCAGCTGCTGATAGAACACAAGAGCTCAGATGAACGAATTGCTATTACTCCTGTATAGAAGGGAAGGTCCGCTACACCCCAAACGCAATACGGTCAAAATCACTGCAATGCATACACCATCCTCCAACCATAACTGTTTGCGTTCCAAATCCTGGGTTCCAGTGCGACACTCTTTACCTTCCGCACGGCACCCACACTTGCTTTCTATTGGCTTTGACCAGGGCGTGAAGACATGTTAATTGATTCCGTGAGAAACATCTGTTCCGGTGGCTGTGACTGTAAACGTTATCATTGGTCCATATAATGGGCGTGTTCTACTAGCGCCGTACTTCCTAAACAAGCATTGGGCCCCTTTGTCAATGGTTGGCAGGAACCAGGCGATGATTGGTCGCTGTGCAGACGCCATATTATATTTGCTATTCGCTGAAGGGACGCCAGTATCGTCTTTGTTATTTGTCACTGTGGCGCAGTAAGTCCCGCTATTGGCTGAAACCTTCATCTCGTCCATCCCGGGTTTGGAAGCAGCAGCCACCGCCTCAACCATGAGCTCCGTCATTATCAGTTCGGCTCCGTTGGTCACCGTCCAGGTCAGCAGCAGCCTGAACTCGTTCACGGCAGAGAAGAGGCTGGACAGAGGCATGACTCTGGCGGAATTAAAGGTGCGGAGAGAGATAAGGGCCCTCAGAGGCAGACATGTGACAGTTGAGGGGGGGCGGGTCTGATCTGGTGCATGTCGGAGCAGTATGCGTTCAGATGAATGTAATAGTAAATTAACATGTCTGTAGGTGTGTACACGTTTATTATTAGGTGCTGAGTCACGTGCTTATCATCCATCAAAGAGAATTCACTTCCAGTGCCTGTAGTGTAATGACAAAGGAGGGGGGATGCACCTTCA